TGGCTGTGCCAGAGCTCCAGCTCGCAATCCAAACTCCAGAGAGGAGACCGGCAAGTCCCTGGCTGGCAGCACAGGGCTCTTTATCCTTGGCACCAGCTGCATTTCTCCTGGAGCGCACTGATCTCTGCTATGAGCAGCCTGTGCAGGCTGAACTTACTACCGTTCGTTTCTCTAAGTTTGCGCTTAGACAGATTTATCAATGAGCAGTCAGAGACGGGGGGACCCTGGACAATGTAAAGAAGCCTCCAGCTATATTATATATATATACTGTATATATGCACACTGTACTATTTGAGCTACAAAGTCACTCCACTGATTAAATAAACACTCATAAAATAAAAGACCCACCACAAAAATGACGGATAGAAGCCTCCAGTAAAAATGACGCCACTTCATTGCAAAAGGTTTTTACAAACCACACCCCTCTTCTCATAATAAGACGGGGGTGTGAGCATGACTCAAGAAGGCAGATAAGAGCATGTGCATTTATTTATTATTGTCTGTAACAAAACCTAGATCTGCAAGAGCAAACTAAAAACCACAGCCAGGGTTGGCGACTACAGTAACCCCACCTGCTGCCTGCGGATGAGCTCAAGAATGCCCTTTGACCTTTTTCCACCCACAGGCTCTCCTCCAGTGCTCAGCTGCTGTCTGCAGGGGACAGACAGGAAGCGAAGCTCGGGGCTGGGCATGGGGGAAAGACACTGCAGCGCCAACTTGCCAGCATCACTCACAGCCCAGACAGGCATCTACTGTGTTTGTCATGGAGACAGTCTGTAATTAGACTCTGTTTCTAACACCCTCCCTGCCTCACTGCCACCCACGCTGAAGACAGGACCCCAAGTGCAGTGCCAGTGTCTGCTGTCCGGGTAGCAACGGCCTCCTGTTAAAAAAAAAACACAGCAGCCCCACAGAGCTAATAAAGACCCAGCACAAGGTGGGGAGGTCATCTTCTAGTTCAGGACTGCTCGTCTAGGCATGGGACAGTTCCAGGCCTGTACTCGTTTAAGTGCAATTGCCTTGAAACTAGAAATGTGAAATGCTTGAGTTTTCAAAACAATGAATCACGAAGACCAAACTGAGAATCCCTATGACCACAATTACATTAGATTTGCAAAAAGAAAAAGCCGAGATGGGTTTCGGTTAAGAACAACAAACTAGAGACTGATTCCTCTCTGCCCAGATGTCCACTTAAAAATAAATACAGGGAAACAAACATTCTCAGTTACAGAACATCATATGTGGGGTTTTCTGTCAGCAAGCTGAAAACCGAAACAGCCTTAGCTGTAACAGAGACGTCTGGGAATGCAGTCACAAACAAGAGAGGGAAGACTGAGAAGCATGTCTCCACTCAATGACACGTGGAGGACACAAACAGGCTGGTGTTAATCCTCCTGCCAGCCCAGACCGAAGCCGGAGAGATCCCCCGCTGCGTGTGCCAGCCGGACACTCTCATCAGCACGGTGTGGGCATGCTGGCACAGCTGGGAGAGGCAGGACCAAGCGGCCACATGGGGCCGTCCGCGTGTGTGTGTGTGCGGAGAGCTATTTCTGCACGCATTTCTCCGGGTCACAAAAACACATGCCTTAGGGACACATGACACACAAGCACAGCAGAGATTCCAGACACCGGGCCTGCTATAAGAAGACAGCGAGAATGGCACAGTGGGGAATGAGCTGCTTGCGCTGGCCCTAGACAATCCCCAAGATAGCCCTGTTTCCGGACAGAGGAACAAAGCCTCAGACAAGCACCAACTTCCCACTATGCACTGCAGAAAGAGCAACTCATTTCCTACTTGCCTTCACCCCCAAGATCTAAGTGCACAGGTCAAGTCGTTCATGATCAACAGAGCAAGCGGGGGGGAGCAAAACAATCTGAATAAAACTAGATAAAAAAAAAAAGAAGGGCGTTTTGATCACAAATTCCCCATCTTCTCCTTGAGTACAACACCATCCCACTCCTTACTGGCGAAACAAGGGGAATCTCCCCTATCAAAGCTCCAGCGTGCCCCCTGGAGCGGCTGGGAGAAGAGGGGCTTCACCCAGGAGCAGGAAAGATGGGAGCAACCCGCTCAAAAGAACCGTGTGCACAAACCCAGCTGAATGCTATCGCTCCCCTCGGTCAAAAACAAAAACACACCATTTGTTGGACAATGAAGAGGAACGGCCTGGAACGCCCTGGTTCAGCAGTGCTCCCCTTGTTCCAGCCCCCCCTGCTTTGGGATCAGAATGGGTGCTGGGTGTGACAAACACTCTGGCTGGAACTGCAAGCTTGCGAAACTCGGCCTCGGCCCGGTCTAGCCAGATTTTTCACAAGGCAGGAGCCCTTCTTCCAGATCTTTAAAAGTATATGCTAGAAAAATAAGTATGTAGGGGTAGGAATGCTCAGAACAACAGCATCATTTCTAGGGGTGTGGCTCTGTATAGCACACCATGATGGAAGTATGGACAAGAAAGCAAAGGGCAGAATCAATAGGGACACGGTAAAGGCTTATTAGATGATGTTCCATCTTGGCCACTGACTGAGCAACATCTTTGACATCTTTCTCCCCTATCAGACAGAAAAGACTAAAATAATAACAATAACTGCTTACACTTATATTGCGCTTTTCTGGACACTCCACTCAGAGCACTTTACAGGTAATGGGGATCCCCTCCACCTGTGTGCTTCCCAACCTGGATGATGCTCCAGTCCGCTCCCCACACACCAGCTCTCAGTGGGGAGGAGAGCAGAGTGATGAAGCCAGTTCAGAGACGGGGGTTATTAGGAGGCCATGACTGGTAAGGGCCAATGGGAAATTTGGCCAGGACACCGGGGTTACACCCCTACTCTTTTCGAGAAACGCCCTGGGATTGAGAGTTTTTGAGAACAAAATGAGAATCTGGTCCCGATCTGGTCAAACACGGCAAACCGAGATCCTCTTCTGAATGGCCGTGAGCATCTTGGGACCGACGAATAATACATTATGCTACATGCCGCCGCTGGGTTTAAAAAGCTGTGGATCGGCAAGTTGCTCTTGTAGAGAGGGAGCCTGGCGGAGCACGTTTTACGTGCATGTGAATACAGGGACTGCACAAACCCGAAAACCTGACATTTCAGATACAACGACAGAGAGGAGCCGCAGTGTGTGTGTGTGCTTGGCTTGGAGGAGCCAGACGTCAGGGGTGCGAAGCTGCTGTGTGTGGGAGTGGGAATGCACACCTCCCAGTCAGAAGCCCCCTTAAGGGCATCACTCTTCAGATACAGAACCCCAGACACACTTCTCCATGGGGCCGAAATCTCTGCCGGCAGAAAGGCCACCAGAGAAGCTTCACGCTTGGTTGTCGGTGCGAGCTGCGCTCATTTTAAAACGGCCAACGGGCTCCGCGTTACGGACAGGGCGGCGGCGTACCTCTTTGGTCAGGTCGTCCCCGCCGTCCCCCTCGCCGCGCCCGCCCCCCTCGCCCTCCTCGCCTTCCTGGGGGGCCACGGCGCCCAGGCTCTCCTCGGCCCCCGCCAGGCCGTAGCCGGACCCCGGCGGCGGGCCCTCGCCCCTCATGGCCGAGCCCTCGGGGTTCCCCACGTCCTCCAGCCCGCCGCCATTGTCCAGGGCGATGCCCGGGCTGGACTGCCCCGCGCTGCCCACGCCCTCGGGGTCGCGGTGGACCAGCCAGGTGCTGAGCTCGGTGCTGGGGACCAGGAAGCGGTCCAGAGCGCGGACCTCGCTCAGCAGGCGGCGGGCGGTGAAGTAGTCGTCGAGGTCGATGCTCTTGGGGTGGATGCCATAGCCATCCAGAGTGTTCCTGAGGTTGTGGAACTGGGTCTGCGTGTAGGCCGAGCTGGGGCCCAGGATGATCTCCCGCAGCGGGGGCAGCTGGGAGCTCAGGTAGCTGTCCACATCCACGCGCACCCCGATGAGGCTCAGCAAGATGGTGAACTGGATCAGGCCCTCCGTGAAGTATTTTTTCAGGTAAAGCATTTCTTTGCAACCGGACAAGATGGAGGAGGGGGGAAGAAAAAAAAAAGGGGGGGGGGGGGGGGGGGGGGGGAAGAGAGGAAAAAAAAAGGAGGCCGAATCCGCTTGCCGCTACGACCCCGTGGCTGGGCGCTCCCCTCTGCTCTTCTTCCGGAAGAAGCCCGGGTGGGGATACGGGGGGGAAGACCTGGTGGAGAGGAGGCAGGAGTTCTGACTTCTTCTCCCCGCCCCCTCCGCCCACACGCCGTCGGAGGGAACAGGAAAGCGCGAGAAGCCGCAGAGAGGCGCTGGGCGTTTCCTCTTTCTCCCCCGCTGGCCAGCGAGTGGTCAGTGTCCGAGGGACGGTCGCCTGGTCCGCAGTCCGGGAGCGAGCGAGCGAGCGAGGGCGAGGCAGCGGGTCGGTCACCAGCAGGGCTGTGCTGGAGCGCGGGTCCGGTCCGTCCGTGGGCTCTTCTCGCACCTGGGTACAAAAGGGCCACAAAGACACCAGAGCTGTTACGGTTGTTGTTTATTATTATAGCGCAGGGGGATCGCACCAGCGAGCGGTTTCTCTGGGGCCTTGATCTGAAGCGGGGGCTCCCACACTCGGCCCCACCTTGGATCACCGGCCCCTGAACCGATCCGAGACGTTTCAATGGAATATTCCGTTGCTAGTCACAAGTCTGGGATTTTATTTCACTTACAAAACACAACGGTTAAAGCTCCAGTGTGTTTAAGCGCTGGGGGGGGGGAGAGGGGCTGCTCAAATGAATCTTATTATTATAACGTCAGAGAGGCTGGATTGTGTAATCGAGGGCTTGGCTGGAACAAAACCCAACAGGCGTGTGGGTCACACAGGGACAGGCTTGGGAACCCCTGCCGTGGATCTGGAGTCTTCTCCCAGCGGGCAGGTCAAGAGCTCCCCAGTGAGGCAGATTAGCCCCTTAACAAGACCCAGCAAACCCGCAAGCCGCTCTTTTTTTGTTTTTTTTTTAATCGATAGAATTAAACGTTCATTTGAGGTGCAACAGCAGCTCGGCCACAGGAGGCTCCTGTTGCCACGGGCAACGGCGGACTAGACAACAAAACAGCCCCCCGGGCAGGCACGTTGCACTGGACACCGGGCCGCGAGGCGTCGGGTTACACTGCCAAAAACACGAGTGTCCGCGGGGTCAGGTCTTCATTTCGCAACTGCGCTTAGAAACTAACTCCCCCTCCTCCTCCCAGCCCCAACTACCACTGAGGGGTTGCAATTTTAAAAAGAAATGACTGAAACGCTTTTCATGTCCCACCCTTTTCACTCGCAAACCGATGCAAAGGCACGTGTTTGTGAAGTTCCCTCCATGAGCAAAGGAATAGTCCTTCTAAACGAAAGGGCAACAGTTTCCTCTCGAGTCCGATTCCCACGCCGGCTCAGAGCAGCGGTGCGCTGACCTACTTTGTCAAAGTGCGGGAGACGCGGCGGCGGTTGAACTGGCGGGGTGATGTAATCCGCCCGTTTCCCGGGAAATAGCCGGCCTTCTCCCGCCGGCACCCAGCCCAGCCCCCCTCTAACTGCACTTAGCCTACACAACCTGTCGGGACCGCGGGGTACACAAACGATTGTTAACGTGACACGGCCTGGGTGGGGGATGCATATTTACTAGCGATCAGCTGACTGTAGACCACGCGAGTATTTAAAGAGCAAACACCACGATAAACCGATTGTCAACGCCAGGGTTGTCCTACTTACTCTCGCAAGCCAAGCAAGATACATGAAACGTTTGTCACACTGTCACATCTCAAATCGGTCTCTTATTCTGGGAGCACCTGACTACCCCGCACCCCACCCGTGACGGCTCCACGCTCAGACAGAACCAACCCGACGCTTCACACGATTCGCGTCGCCTCGGGTCGCAGATAAAACTTCTAGAACTTGTTAAAAGCCCAGAGTTTCACTTCACCAAGCTCGTTTCCAATGCCTGAGCTAGAAATGTAGATTACTTTCTATTTCGTTAACTTTCGTAATCGGATTAGTATATAACAGACACGTGCTCATCTACTGTACCAAGATGTATTTTGTAATATTAAGAATTCATGTCCATGTCCGTGAATTTCAATCATTCACTAGATATGCCTACGAATTTAAGTCATACATTCAAACATTTCTGGGGCTCATACTACACAATTTAACATTTTCAGCTAAAATCGGTATTAGCTTTTACTAAATGTATTCACCATTAAGCCACTGCACCGAATGGGCAAGACTATCAATACTGCCAGTGCGTCATCTAGCTTTTATATTTTGACAAGGAAACAAAAAACATTTATCGACACCCGCTTGCTCATGAGGGATGAAATGTTCAAGAATCGAACCCAATCCGTGGATGTTATTAACAATAACTGAAAGGAAATTATTAAAAAGCAATAACTGGACTTCCTCCACAGCAAAGACAGCTGACCACTCTTCATCCGCACGGACTCATGAATACCTTGTTAAGGTCTTTTTAAGTTTTGCAACTGGAAATAAATCCTTCTTTGCTCTCCCAGGAAAGGCAGTGGCCATACAAAGCTCTTCTTGCACCAAAACAGAAAAACGAAGAAACCAGCAATATCGGTCACAAGATCCGAGGGATGGAGTGCTTTTGCTCAACGAGGTAGATCCCAATTTCAAATGTCTGTTCAATAACAGTTTCTGAAAAGCTAGATATTAGTCGATCAACCTTTAAAAAATGGCCAATAATGTAATATTATTTCGAAAGGTCTCTCTGGCCTTTCGAAAAAACGAAACCCCGTCTCCAGTCGGCTGATTCCGCAACTGTCCCGTCCCGTCTGGCTTGTGTCATAAAGTTACCGAGGTTGTAATGAAGGTGAAAAATGCGAGAACGAAAATTTATAAGGTTTCTCTTACATGTCTTCCCCTCCCAAAGTGACGTTACCAGCTCCGTTACTTTCCTTCTTCCCTGTGCCCCCCTCCTCCTCCTAAATAACCCTCCCCACCAGCCGTCCCGTACTCGAAACTGACAAAAATACGAGCGTGGCCGCCCTCGTCGCAAACACCAACACAAACCAGGAAGTGCCCAGCCGGCAGACTTCCGCTATCGCTACCTCGGCAACAACGCTTAGCAACAAGTGGTGCCATGGTGACTGACACCCCAGACAGCCAATTGAAATCCAAGAAAGAAGCCCACGCGCCGGACTCTCCCTCTGACCGGCCAATGGAGATCGGATGGGGGCAGGCCGCTGTGGTTATGGGAGAGGGAAGTAGAGGGAGGCAATAGGAGTGAGTTATTTTCTTTAGCTGTCTGTTACAAACACAAAGCAATAAATTTGGCTTCAAGCATTTTGTCTAAAACCCTTCTTTAGATGAGAAAAGCGAACCCAACACTTGACAATTTCCTGAACACCAACACGGTAACTAACACAGGCTTTTCCTTCACCATTTAGGAGTGGTAACTGAACTGTAAATCTTTTGCGTCAAAACCTCCGATACTTACAGTGTGTTGATTCTGACAGTCCGTGCTCTGGCAAGATACAAAACCGAGTCCTTGAATTCGCTATCCGCTCGTAGACGTATTTCCTTTCCTATTTAATGTCGGCTAATGTTGATATTTGTCTCGCCGTCTACTACTCAGGCCCATCGTGACTTGCAAAAAATGTTCTGCTACTACAGCTGCACGTTTTTCCCAAGGCGCATGCGTAGAATATTCCAGGCGCGCTGCAGATGACGTTCGCCGCCCCCGCCTCGTGCTGAATATTCATATTGTGCGTCAGGGAATGACGCAATACCGGAAGTCCAATGTGTTCGTCCCGCCTCTTGGAGTAGCTGTGTGATTTGTAAGTTGACAGGGTCGTCCAGGTCGTGTTTCTGGAGGATGGGTGGATGCGCAGGTTTTCCAGGTCTCTTTGAAGTAATTGTACTTGAAGAGCTGGGAGAAGCTGATCCAGTTATGCCAGATGGTTTAGTTCCTTAAGAGCGGAGTTACAATGCAAACCCACAGGCACGCCAGCCCTCACAGGGAGAAATCCGTTGTTTAATGCGGATTAAAAAGATTTACAGCCTCTAACAGTCATTTTGTTTATTAGTTAATTGTAGCTAACAGTGACTTCATTGTTATTCTCCTGGGTAAATATGTTCTTGACGTTGCTTGGAATAATCAAATAAATTTTGAAGAAGAAAATTTAAAAAAGATAACATATACTCATGGAAAATATGAGTTACTATGTCACCTTTTGTCATTTGGCCTGAGTCCCCTTTGGAGATGGGAAACGTATCCTAATGTTTGCACAAAGGAGGCTTAACCCCAACTGCTCCAGGGGTGCTGTATAAATAGCTGACCCTGCTGACCTCTGACCCCAAGCTTCTCTCCCTGTCTGTGTCTCATGGAGAGCAAGCTGGGGTCTGTGAAAAGATGACTTCCTAATGCAAGAAATTGTATATGGCTAATAAAGTGATCTTATCTTATCTTATCTAACACATTTTAATTTTCCTTTAGGTAAACATGCTGAACCTGAGTGCTGTTTCATATTGGTTGGCAGGCAAGGGGAGATACACTCTCAATGTGAGACCTATCTTCTTTTTCAACAGTATCACTTCAAACATATTTAGTGTATGATCATATTGTGAAAGGGTCAGCATTGCTGCCTCACAGCGCTGGGGCCCTGGTGTCAGTTCCAGGCCCGGGCAGCTGTCTGAGTGGAGTTTGCATGCTCTCCCTGTGTTCGTGTGCATCTCTGGGTGCTCCGGTTTCCTCTCACAGTCCAAAGCCATGCTGGAAGGTTAATTGGCGGTTGGGAAAACTGGTGTGAGCGTGCCTGTGTTTGTGTCTCTGTCTGCCCTGAGATGGGTTGGCGTTCCGCCCATATTTTGGGCCCGTTGCTTGCTGGGATAGTTTGAAGACGGATGGATAATACTGTGAAGCAGACCAAAACTGAGAAGGTAAACGCAGTAAGACCGAGGGTCCGGGATCAGACGAGGGAAATCAGAGGACATGCATTCGAGACTCAGAACAGCAGCTTGCTGTACGTCTCCACACAGAAGGTTGTAGGTAGAACAAGGCACCCAGACATGTGGTTAAAGACGTCCCCCTGGGGTCATGACACTGTCGTCCCCCTCATGACACTGTCAGGTTCCAAACACGGGTGGTAAGTCAAAAATTCCTCCACTTGTTTGCTCCCCACTTGTTTTTATGGTCCTAAGAGGAACTACATTCTCTACCATGTGACATTAGTGACTTGTGCACTTTTAATTCTATAGGAGAAAAAGATCTGGAGCGTTTCAGTGTGAGCCTCAGGAACAGCTTGTCAAAGCCGATTTGGATTTTTCAAATGTTTTTACACTGCAAGAATTCATCCAGAGGGCTAGCCAGTAACCACCCTGTAGGAGGCATCTCTACAGTGACTGCCACGCTGGATCAACTGCAAATAAAATGAATAAATTGATCTGTATGCCTTGTTAAGTGTGTTTTGACTACAGGGATCTTAAAAATAAAATGTTACAGAACTTTGTTTTGATTTTGATTTTGTAAGAAAGGATAACATTATATATACATTTCTTTATAATTCAAGGTTTTATTTTTAATATCTGGAACATGTACAACATATCTAATATTATGCTTCAGATTCTACCACATTTCTCATCTGCATCTTTATTAAGTTTTGCTTCCTGAGCTGCGTGAAAGCAGGCGTTATCTGAGCCAGCGCTCAGAATTTTAAAGTGTCTTATTGTTAAGTGTAGGATCAGGTTATGAAGGTTTTTAAAGACTTAAAAATATCCTTCTCTCGTTAGGTGTTTCACTGAGGAATGTTGAAACTTTCCAGGCCAATATTAAGGAACGTGAACGTGTCACAACCAGAAAAAAGCAAAAAAAGCTTTCGGCTGTTATTTATTTTGCCTGTTGAAACCCTATACATTGACCCCAGATTATCATGGCTGTATCACGTAATTTTGTTCATAAATTAGAAAACCTTTAAAAAGAGGCTGTGGTGTTGCCGTTGCTAACAGGACACATTACTGTGTCCTGTTAGACCCTCTCCCGGGAATTTTATAGTGAGCCGTTAGCTGGCCTAGCACCCATGTCAAAATGCCAGGTAAATGTGTTTTCAGCGACCTCTGGTTAGCAGATGAAAAATACAAGCTATGGCTCCAAAAAGATTAAATTATGCAGGAAAAGAAGTTCTGGAAAGGTTTGGAGTTTTGTTGGTAGAAATGAGTGGGAACACTGTTAAAAAACACTGTAATGAGCCGTGTTTTTCTGCACTAGGGCTTCAAATAAACAGCCACCCAGAGCCAGGCCAAAACTGCCTAAGGTGGGTGAAATTATGTAGGAGTTATGTTCGAGTCCAGCAGCAAATCAGAAGACCAGAAAGGGCTGAGTGGGATCCCACCCCACTGAGTCAATAACATAGAGTGCTCTGAAAATAAAGACAGGAATAATGGTGCATCTGAGCTGCAAATCTCCTATCACTTCACGGAAATTATTAGGTTCAAGGGAAGGCATGGGATAACTTTCACCAAATGCACTTCTGTTAGCTACTCTGTCAGGAATAGAACAGACAGTCCCTGGATGCTTTTCAAGGCCCAGAACAAACTCGGCAACGGAAGGGAAAAGAAAGTCCGTAACCAGAGATATTTGGCCCGTGTAGTTCACTTGCCTGCAAGTGGACAATTGATCCAAAGACCTCTCCCTCCCGTCTCCACACCCCCACAACCCTTGGTCAACGCTACTGTAAAGATGTGATCTTGAAGAGCAGCCGTTCCCAAGTAATTACGTACTGATTTTTGTCTCAGGAGATTTCCAAGGGTTATGTCTGTCAAATTAAATGAGCTGTGTGTGTAAGGAAGATAGTGCAAGTCTGGGATATGCAGAAAACTGCGCATGAATAACAAGTACAGTAGTATCTCGTCATTTCTGCGCACACTGCCCTCTGTCGGTGGCCTAAGGGAAGACCGCCGTCAGTCGGGGTTGGTCGCTGGAGGGGAGAACAGTGGAGACTATACATCACAGCACCTGGACCACAGAAGATGAGTAACAACAAGAATCGTTAGATTTCTCCTGCCTGTGTTCCTCCAGGAGGCTGAATTCAAAACCTGTAGCTAATGAAGGGAAGGTGAAACTGAATGTTACAGCTGCGTTATTTCAGCAGCTATTTCTAACCGTTCAGCTCTTTTCCTCCGACACATTTTCTCCCCCTAACACCCACTTTCCAGCTGCGCCCGTACGTTTCTAATTGATCAAACATTACTTATTACCGCCAACACGGTTCTGCGCAATGGCTTGGGTGTTCAAATAAGAAAACTGCTCTCCAGCGTCTCGCAGGAGGCTGGCGAGGTCTTGACGAGCTATCCCAGGGTGCCGTAGTGCCTTGAATAAAATTACCAACCGCTGGAGTCGGAAAGGGGGGACGTGTGTTAAAATGCATAGTAGTACACTACGGGGTAGGCTGCCGTGAAACTGACTCCATTCCGGCTCTTTCCCCGCGAGTCTCGCGTTCGAATCTAGTGCGCGAGTGGAGCCAAAATGGCGAATGCAGCTCTGCAGCTTCTCGGTCCCCTCTTCTAGTTTTTTGCTAAGTCCCTCCCACCTATGACTCAGAGGGAATCTGCGAGGTGTATTAAAATGACAGATCAACCCTGTCCACGTCAACACCGAAGTATACCTACACCATGGAATCTGTGGCTCTGGTAGGCACCCTTTATAGATATCTCTCTCTGTCTATAACAACCCTCACTGGGGTCCGTCACGAACTTTATTCTTCGGCCTCATCTGCCCTGCAAAATGTTAACGACATCTGCATTGGGACGGTGTTGTAACATTACGCGTATCAATAATGCAGCGCTTTACAGTAGCAGGCTGGGGGGGCTAGTTGGATACACTTTGTCCAACGGGCAGCGCCTGAAGATAACTACTGCATTCACTGACTTTTTCCATTTCTAAGGCAGGCAGCAACAACCAGAAGAAGAAAAAAAAACAGAATAAAGATGGAGGGCAGCAAATACACATTTTTTTTTTAAAACGAAATGTGTAATTCGACACGTTACCCGGAGGCTGCCGTGCGTGCTGTGCCTGCGGTCAGAATTCGCAGAGAGTTCGGCTCGTCGCCGGTTCGTCCGGTCGGTGCTGCGAAACGAGACCCAAGACGCTTCTCGATGTGAAGCTCTTGCCCGGGATATCTGGACGTGACAGTTGATATTACGCGTCCAACGCTCAACTTTGCAAACTCCTCTGACATATGTCGTGGGGCTGTCGGGGTCCTCTGTGGAGACAGACAGTGCCACGTCTCCTGCAAGACGGAGCACCACGGAGTGAAGCAGGGAGCGCATCCGGTCGTGTTGTAGCTTTTACGAATATCACGGGTTGGGGGGGGGTTGTTCATTATTAATTCAGTTCGGGGACTATGTCACAGAGGAATGTTTGTTTGAGAAAGCTTTCGAAATGGAGGTAAAACATTCCTGACGAGGGCTCGAGGCATTTCAACGACCGAAAAAAAGTACCAGTACAGTACTACGAGGGGGACGTAGAAACCCGGTTTGGACCCGGTTCTTGCGTTCACACGGCAGGGCTCATTTGCAAAGGGTCCGGGAGAGCCTGCGGGGTCGACAGCTCGCGTTCTGTAGCAACAACTTCTCAGTGTCCGAGGGAGGGCGACAGGGGGACCAGATGTCTAGACTCCACTCCAAGTTCATTTGTCCCCAAATACTGGTGCCGCCGCCGTCTGGCGGAGGAGCCGGCTTGTTTTAGAGTAAAAATGAAACCCGGTTTTACTTCATTATGAAAGTTAATATCTGGCCTGTCTATTCCAGGCTACACGGAGACACATAGGAGCATGGCAGTATGGTCATCATCGCAAAACGCAGCTCCTCAATATTCTTTAATCTCTCGAGTCCTGGTTATTACTGCTGTATTATTAATATTCACATCGAGCATTATTGGCACTGTTAGCCAGAGGCTCTTAATGACACAGGGCAGAAGACTTCCAGTGTGTGTCCTCTCATATTCCTACCCTGACTGGTTAGTACATTCCACATCGACAGGGTTTGTGTTCTGAAATGCGGACCAAGAGGAAACTGCCGTTCGTATGGTGTAGCCAGGGCTTGGAAACTCCGTTCCGGTCTTAGGAAAAATGTACGCGGATGCAGAGTTCATCCAATGAAGTAGAATTGGAGAAAACAGGCCGTGGGAGAGTCTGCAGAGCCATTCAGATGGAAAGGGAGATTGGGTTTTTGTAACACAATATCTCTTGGTAGCTGTCTGCCTCAGCCACTGGTAGATATTGTGTTACACAACCCAATCTCTGCCTTTCATCTGAACCAATGCTCGCAATATTTGTTTCCACACACAATTCTAAGTGTTTTGCTTCCTGGCCTTAGACAGTCATTCCCAGATTGTTGTAAATTGTACACTGCCAGGTTCTGACTGACCGCACGCGGAGGATTTTTTTCTGCAACGGCGTGATGCTCGTGGCTGGGTCAGGCTGGGCTGGGCCAGATCGGACCTCGAATTAGTGGCTCTGTCTCGGAGAGAAAACGCCGGCAGCCTGATCTGCAGCTGCCCAGACCGGCAGCTGACGGGGGGACGGGACTCTCCTCCTGCCCCTGAACAAACTCGAGTGCGCGGGAGGGGTGGCGCGTACGGCCCTGGTGGGGCAGCCTGCCCCCCTCGAACCTGGCAGGACCGTTCGGACCCGGGCCCGGGGACATGCCACACAGCCGTGTCCTGAGCTGAAGTTCTGTGATACACTTAGACTCTGAGTGTGGGGAAGTCAGTGCATAACAGAACTTTGGCTCGGGGTGACCCCACATCTGGAGCACCACAAGGACAAGGGACAGCTGGAGCTGACAGCCTGGACACGGATCGGGCATCGCCAGGCTTCAGGGCCGAGACTCCTGGGGGTTTTGCACGAGCCTTTCTATTAGTAATGTCTTAGTTATTAGTCATGGTTAATTGGTCAATTAGTAATTACTAATGGGTAACACAACTTCATTAACCAGGGGACTCCACAGCCCTTAAGGGTTGGGGTTGCCCATCCCTGGCTAAAACCAACACCACTATCACCATCACTGTGTGGGCTCATCCCCTGTGCCCTGAGACTACCAGACACTCCCCTGATGGCATCCAGGCTGTTTCTGGACCTGTTCCACAATGACCAAAGCTGGAAATATTGAGCGTTT